TTTTTGTTTTTTTTTTTTTTTTTTTTTTTTCCTGAACTGTGTTCTGCCATTTGAACTTGACAGAAGAATTTGTTTGTAACATCATCTGCTGTTAATTTCTGCATAAGATTATGATATGTGATTTAAGAGAAGAGATTCTCGTTCTTGATTTTCCATGAGAGGAAAATTGTAAAAGAACTTCGAAAAATATGGGAGGAGCCACACCTAGTGAACCGGAAGGCGAAGATACGGTTTATAATACTAATTTCTTACTGGTTTTTTTTTTTTTTCATAACCGACTCGGAATTGGTTATATGATACCTTGATCTGTATGCAACAGTTATTAGGCACTTAAATCCAACCACTACGATAGACGGGGGGAGAGAGTCGATTCTAGATGGCAATAAATGGTCATGTGATTATTCAACCTCTATAGTACAATAATTTGGTAGGAAAAATCACAAGGGAACTCATAAGGATACGACCATGTACTCGCATTTCTCCTAAGTGATTCAAATTGGCCAAAAGTATCAACAAATATGGACATCAAAACCCTTTAATTTTAGGAGTGCTAGTTTTAATCGTGGGTCAAACATCTCCTTCGAATATAATTTTGTTTTTCAACCAAGATACTTATCCAATGAAGCTTTCCCCATTGAATAATGCACAAAAAGGTCCCCACTGGCAGTACAATTGAAGACAGAGTAAAAGATTAGAGCCACCTTTTAAGATTTAAATTTTGTTTTTACAACAGCTTTGATTGTTCCGTTGATTCTTCGTAGTCATAATTCCACTTAAAGACTAATGACGGCCACCAGTGCCCATTACTTTTCGTCTAGTGGTGACCCAATTTGATCTGTTTTTGCCTCTATTACCATTATAAGCAGGCAGGCAAGAGGCGTGGCCTGGCCAATTGCCATCTCTAGACTTTTATTATTCTTATTCGTACTGTTCAAGCCCCTTTTATTGACAATATCACCACATATTTCCTCTACCCTCTCCAGTATTCCAGCCCAATATCTGTGTATAATATTGTATATATGTAGACAGAGGAGAGAGAAAGTCAGTCCTGTCTCTTTAGATGGGCTGGGCACAAATTAGGCCCATTAAATTCTGCATTTCTTGTATGGATGGCCCCCAAAGATCTCTTATTACATGAAGTACCAATTCTTTCATCTATAATAGTGCTCTTTATAGAAGGCTAAGCTAAAGCAAATATGTGGCTTTTGCTGCCGCAGGAGCTGGGCTTCTGAAGCTTCATGATGACGTAGAAACCTGTGGATATGAAGATGTGAAGGTGATGTGGGAAATGCTGCGTCGATCGGAGTCGGAACTAGTCAGACCGACCGAAGCGCAAGCTACGGCCGTTTTGGAGAGTCTCTGTGTGGTCCAACCATGCTGCTGCAGCCTCCTCTTACACTGCAACTCATGCGTGAGGCCATCAAACCAACACTCAGCTTCGTCAATTCTGCGCCATCTCTTTGGTATCTTCACCGTTTTTTCAGAACTAACAGCCAATGCTTGCAATGGTACAGAACTTTTTACCAAACTTGTTCAAAGAAATGTGAAGTCTTTGCACACGCAGTCCATCTCTTCCACTTTGAGCAGACAAACACCCTTTTGTAAATAATAATAAATTTTTGGGTTCGTAGCTAAGAATCGTTGGTGACTTGATGATACTTGTTTCAATTCAGTTCAAAAAGTTGATGAGATCACTTGTAGTTTTACATCAAAATGAAAAATGCCTTTCAAGAGCTGAGAATGAAAACCAATTGAAATCCAATCATAATTTAAACCTCTTCAGAATTTGTAGTCAATTTTCCCATCTTTCTTGAATCCATCAATGTAGAATAGTAGGGGTTGAATATTTTAACCAGTTTAAATTCGAAAGCTCGGAGAAATTGTTACGATATTGTCCTTATTGACTTTCCCTCGATGTAAAATGCGTGGTTTCTACATTTTCATCAGAAATGTTTCAATCCACCTGCTTGGGGTCCAACGAGTTCTACACCCTTATCAAGAACGTTTCCTTCCCCTCTTGAATCGATGTGACATCTCACAATCCACCCCCTTGAGGGGCATTCTCGCTGGCACACCGCTTGGTATTTAGCTCTAATACCATCTATTCCACCCGCTTGGAGTCTAACGAGTTCTACACCTTTATTAAGAATGTTTCATTCCCCTCTCGAATCAATATGAGATCTCACAATCCACCCCATTGAGGGTCCAGCGTCGGCACACCGCCTAGTATCTGACTTTGATACAATCCATAACAGTCCAAGCCCACTGTTATTATCGTCTTTAAGCTTTCCATTTCAGGTTTCTCTCAAGATTTCAAGGTTTTTACATTACAATCGATCGTAAGATCTCACAATTATATCATTTATATTTGGACAAGTTTGGTATGCCTCAATTAACATAAATTTGAATTGTCTCAACAAAATTGATACAAAATAGAAAGGATTGATTGAGACCTAATTATTATGACCAGAAAAGAATCAAGATTGATATAAATTCATCTCTTTTCCCAATATACTCTCAGCAACAATTTCTCCCAAATTGATTTAATTTCATTAATCTTTCACCTACAAGGGGCTCATTGATTAACATAAATACCATACTTAGCAAAAATATATGGATTCCTCTATCTTTAAACTCCAGCAATGGCGGAACAAATGGAACTTTCAGAACCTGCCTTCATCATTGATTACTCGCACAGCTTCAGTTGGAACTATTCTTTGCCTTTTTCTACAGCTTCTACTCCTCTTCCTCACAAATGTTAGAGCTCTCATAAAATCTTCTTCTTCTTCTTCTTCTTCCTCCTCCTCCTCCGCCGCCGCCACGAACGGCACAGTCATCAGCATCTCCGCCGTGAATCTGTACTCCGGATTCCTCACAAAGCAATTCTTCAAAAACCCACTTGCGTCTTTCGACACCCCTTCTGGAATCTCCGGCATTCCGTCATTCTCAGTAATGCTTTTCACTATCCCAGCCTCGTCCGTGGCGGCCCAGGGGCGGTTTCCGGTGAGCATTTCCAGCACAAGGCAGCCTAGTGCCCAAATATCACTGGGCGACTCTTGCACGCGGTGAATCAATGTCTCCGGCGCCATGTACGACAGCGTCCCTCCAAAACAATTGCCATGCCTTGTCTCGCTGGTTCTCCTGGCCAACCCCAAATCACAAATCTTGGCCACCAATCGGCCGCCCTTGGCCGTGTTCGTGGGCAGCAACAAGATATTTGCAGGCTTCAAATCACAGTGAACGTACCCTCTTCTGTGGATGTGAATTAGGCCTTTGATTATCGTCTTTGTGTACCTCCCAACCTCGTTTTCTGCTAATCCCTTTCCACCTACATTAATTCACCAACAAATTTCTTAACAAAATCAAAATATTTTAACTTCTTTTATTAAAATCTAAACATCAGATATACCCTACATAAAAGTTCCTGTGCAAGCAAGAATGACACTAGCATAATCTCTGTGTAAGCTAAAATGATACACATCATTCAAGATTATGACACATGCATATGTATTTATTTTCTTAGACTTAAGTTAGAATATGATATTTTTAATTCAAATATTTATTTTATTTTATTTAGTATTTCGGAGATATTTATTTTCTTAGACTTAGACTATAATATGATGTTTTTAATTTAAATATTTTTTTTATTTTATTTAGTCTTTCTGACTCAGGCATAAAAGAGTAAGTTTATGCTAGAATAAGATGTTTTTAATTTAAATATATATTTTTTATTTTATTTAGTCTTTCCTCCATTTATAACACATGTAGTTATTTTCTTACGCTTAGGTTGATGTTTTTAATTTAAATATATTTTTTATTTTATTTAATTTTTTCTTTACGTATGTATAGGATAGTGATATTTATTTTCTTAGGCTTACGTTAGAATATGATGTTTTAATTTAATTTTTATTTTATTTTGTTCGGTCTTATTTTTGAAATACTTAAGTCCATAGTTGTGTTTTAAGACAAAAGTTATTTTTTATGGAATTTAAATGAAGTCTTTTTGCATTCAATGTTCATGATACAGTAGCAACCTTAAACTAAATAGAAAATTTCGGGATATCAAAATTGAAATGTGATAATAACGTTTATAATGAACTTTCTAATTTTATTTTAAAAAACGAACGTTTGTATTTAAATTTCTAGTTTATGTTGAATGATTTTTTGAGTTAGGTTAAATTTCGTGTCTTTAAACTACTTATGTAAAATCGAAAAAATTAGGATAAAAAACAAATACACTAGAATTATGGTCAAAATAAACAATATGATACGATTAGAGAGTCGTGATTCAAACCTATGTTATTGATGCGATGAGCGAGAGATCCACCAAGGGCGATCTCCAACCGCAAATTATAAATCATTCGACCGTTGCGATCCGTAGTAATTTCTTCTCCAAAGCATTGGATCAAGGAATTGCATCCTTTCAAGTTATCATAAATTTGTTTCTCCTTCTGAAGGGATTTAGAAACGGAAACTTCAGCAGATTTGACCGCCATTACCGGAGGGAAAATGCTGAATTCAGATCGCTTCAGAGAAGCCATGAAAACCGATCCGAAGCTTCCTTTTCCGATCAGCCGCCCTCGCTCCCATTGAACGCCATCGTTACAACAGCAACAACAAGACGAAGAAGAAGAAGAAGAAGAAGAATGAAGAGGCGATTGACTCATTTTTCCTCTTCATTTGAAAAGGAATCGATATGGGAATTTGGCGATGAGATTTAGAGAATTTATTGGTTATGTTGATAGAGTTTATATTGCCTACATCCTAGGTGCCGCCAAATATACCGTAGTATATTTAAATTAATTAATTAATTTAATATATTTATTCAAATTTCGTTTTAAATTTATTAATTTTTAGTTAAATTTAGATAAATATAAGTGAAAATAGTTAAAATTGTGAATTTATTCATTTCTAAAAAAATTTGATTTAAACGTGATGTTTTAGTATCAACATTAACGTCAATTTTTACTAAAACATCGACGTCATTTTGAGCTTAGTTGTCATTGTAGTTTTAGCTCAAAGTAACGTCGTTTTGAATTTTGTTTTCACTCAAATTCTCACATGTTTAGACCTCGATATCTTTACTTGAGTTTCGCTCGCTCTTTAGTTTGATGCGAATGCAATCTTCGGCAAACGACAACAATAACAATAATTAAGAAAGTTATACGAGGCTCAAATATTAAATCAATATTAAAATGGTTTCTCTACGTCCATTTATATTTATTTGGAAAACCAAATTTTTATTATTATTTTTTATTGAAAAAGCAATAATATTAAAAATATAAAGATTAAATTTGAATTATATTACAAATATAAGGACTAAATTATAAAAAATTAAAAATATGTGTCTAAAATGAAATAAAATTAAAAGTGGAGGATTAAAATAATTAATCCCACGTCTAATATTTCATATAATTTTTTAAAAATAATTTATAATTTAGTTGTTCTGTATATATATATATATTGGCTTTATTTATTAAAAAAAATATATATATTTGGTTATAAATTTATTTTATTGATTGAACCAAAATAAATTAGGTATTTGGAACAGACTCAGGAGAGTGGAAACGAGATACAACTAACTACGAGGCGTGGAAGTGGAACCCACACCTGGAACGCCAAATTCCGCCTTGCCCCACTGTTTCATCACTCTCTTTCAGGTAATGCTAAAATTCTCCTTCTTCTCTTTCAATCCCGCTCCATTTCCTTTGATTCCTCTGAATTCTTCCGTGTTATGCACTCTCCTTCATGATTCCGATTCGTATATCACTTTTCTTTTTAATCGTTTTTCTTATCTTAGCTGCCGTTGCTGATTTGTATGGATTCGTGAGTTTTCCTCTCTTTCTCTAGCGCGCTTGCATTGCTTCGATTTGGTTTAATTTCTGTGTTGTATTTGTTTATATATGTTGTGGATTTGTGAGTTTATTCATCTGAAATTGCTGTGTTTTGTTCATATTCTGTGATTGCATCATGGTGTTTGTCTCTGTTTGATGTTGCTAATGGAGTCGTATCGATCGATCGCGTAGAGCTGGTTTGGATTTTGATTTTGTAATATTTTTGTTCGTTGTTCTGAGATAAGTCGTTCGGACGAAGCGTGGTTTAAGTGGATCGGAAGCTGTTTTTGGTGTTTCATTTGTGCAGTTTGTAACCGATCTTTTATTTGTGTTCGTTAATGCATTTGACGTCTCTTTCCGTTTTTTATTGAAATTGTGGTCTAAGCTTCTTTTCCTTTTCCTTTTGTGTAATGTGCTTTGTTCATGGAGATATTTAAAGCGGCTTAAAAGACAACGACCATTAATGCATATACTGCTTAATTATTATAACTGCACGTTGATGATTGCATTACCGAATTCAGTTTTCACAGAATTTCTCTTCATATTTCACAATTCAATGATCGGCTGTGTTTTTGATTATTCGTCCGGAGACTGTATTTCTAATTCCTGTTGTTCAGGATGGACTCGATAGAAAAGGATAATCTGAACCTACGAAATAAGCTGTCTGGTTTTATTTCTGACGATGAAAATGAAGAATCGAGATGCCTTGGTACAATCAGAAGTGATGCTAACTTCAATGGGCTCCATGAAGAATACAGTGCAGCTTCTAGATTCCATCATTCCCAATTTCCAGATCCATCTGTCTCCTCTCATCCAAACCTTGCTGGATCCTTCTCTGATTCAATTTCATACACTGATATTGATTGGTCATTTGATGGCTCCCGATTGGGACTAAGCTCTCAAAAGTGGTCTCACAGCATTTATGCGAATCCCAAAAATAAGACAA